CGGGGGGAGGGTGGATCTCGATCGATATCAGCTGGCCAACCATCAGGCCATAAGCTGCTGGTTTGTTACTTTCCGGATCGGAACGGAAGAGGAACGGCCGGTATCGCTTGGCTTGCAAACTAAAAGAGGTATAGGTCCACTGATAGCACTCCCAAGTATACAAATTCGTTCACTGCTTCGATGACGTCGTTTTCTACAACAAGTGGTTGTAGGATTTGTAGTTGCGTGCTTATTTTCATATACTTCGTTTTGTTGCTGTTTATTATTAAACCCATTTTTGTAGTTGATTCTTTTAATGCTATATACGTTTCTCGTACAGCGTTTTCCGTTCTACCAACAATATTGATGTCATCAGCATAGACCAGGATTTGCACTGATTTATTATATATTGAACCAGTGGTTGTGATTTGTGACAAACGTATTACTTTTTCCAAAGCCAGATTGAACTATATACAGGGGAGATGGTCTCCCTAACGCATCTCGTTATTTGTTTTAAAAGGTATAAGACAGTTACCCCTGAATTCGTACTCTACATTAAACTTTTTGAAGAGATAGTTTTGTTAAATTTACCATCTGTAGAGTCGTAGGCTGCTTTGTAGTCTATAAATATGCGATGAGTATCAATGCCATGTTCCAGTGTTTTTTCTAAAATTTGTTTCAGGGTTTCAACCTGATGAATTGTCGATTTACCACCTCTGAAACCAGCCTGATATTTTCCTACTATCCGTTCTGCATATTATGGTGCCATACGGTGACATAGTACTGTGAAAAATATTTTGTACGCTGCATTTAGAAGTTTAATTCCCCTGTGGTTAGAGCATTCAAAGATATCTTTGTTTTGTGTTTGGTACAAAGTATTAGAATCATTTGCGGAGGAATTTCTGTGCCCATATTTCTTTTATAAGCTGCTGTTATGCCATTATGTTCAAGACTTCAAGAATCGTTGGTGGTTCCTCTTTGTTCAGATGTAATAAGCGATTATTTGATAAAGCCGACTTTATTTAATAACAAGTCACTCAATACACACTACAACATACACAATGTACAATAAACCAATTGTCCGTAGGACTACTGATTTATACTGTTATTACGTAAAAAATAGGCGATCAGGATTCTGTATTTCGCCACAGTCATATCTGTCATTCTGCGAACCTTAGTTTGATGAGGTTCCTGACTTATTTCAGTTAAAATTCGAATTATATCGTTTTGGTATCTTGGCAGTAGCTTAAATGCAAGAGCTCGATCAAAGATATTTTAATTCTTTGCAATGTTCCATATACATACCCACCTTCGATGGTATGTCCAACTTTTTCCTAGCATATTGGTTCTTTAGGTGGTAAGCGTACACTTGGGTTTTTTAAAGGTTTCGTTTTAGAAAGTGATTATTATAGTACTGTGTTAGTACTTCTAGTTTATCCGACAATTTCTGTACTATTTCTTCAAAACATTTTCCCTGAACAGGCAATACCATATCATCAAAATAAATAAAGCGTCTTGCTCCAAAATGGCTCGAAAGTAACCACAACCACTATACATATTATAAATTATAAAGGAGAGTTGCCTTGAAGAAGAGTATTTTTTTATTTCTTTCTTGGATTGCAAGATAAACCGACGATTTTGAAGAATGCATTTTAGTTAACACATAAAAATCAAACTTCATCATATGAAACACTTTTACCATTACTATTAACCATATTTGATTGTTAACAGAGTCATAAGTAACAGTTAAGTTTATGTATGCGACACCAGTCATTCCATTTCGTTAAAAATTATTTTCGAGTCACTATATAAGGTTTATTATTTGATCAAAGCAATATGTCCAGCTTCTACCATACACAGTGAACTAAACTACTAAAAAGTATACTCAGGATACTGATACACTTTGTAACTTAAAGACACCGTTGCTCAGTTGTTGTAGACGAGGGGCGGGAACTTGCGAAATATAACAAAAAAAAAAACAAAAACGAAAAAGAAAATAACAACTGTTCACAAAAAATGGGTGCTATCATTTTTAATGTTTGAATCAAACATTAGCAAAAAACAAACAGAAATGGGAGAATGGGAGATTTGTATCCTGATTATATGTAAATACTGATGAAATAAGAAAATATATTCAATGTATAGTTAGATCTAAACAAATCTTTAAAAGCATGGTTATTTGGCTACAAGATCGGGGCTCAAGTAAGTCACCTGTCAATTTTGGAAAATATAACCACAAAAAACTATTGGTTATAATAATAGCTCATCAAGAGATCAATTTAAGGAGATTATACTCTATAAGAAAGATATTTATATGAGTTTTAGGATCATCCAGTGGCAACCTGATTTTTATACGTTTAAGTATAATGACATTCTTTAAGATCCCACTATCAATACATGTTTAATATCGATAGTTGCGCGTTAGACGTATTAAAATATGCTCCACGTGTGTTTCGTCGTTGAACATAATTAAGGATTAATACTCGTTTAAGTACTACATTTTAAAGATAATTAATCATACTTAATTACTGTTTTGCCAATTTAAAAGCTATATCAAATTAAATATATTTTTTTCTTAATTGAAGTTATTATTTATAAGTACAAGTTTACGAATATCAATATTATTCCAGTCGTTTTTGACAGTTTGTATTTCAAATGCCACATTTGTGGCCAAAACTGAAAATCGAAATGTCATGTTATAGGTTTAAAGATTAGGTTTATTTATTTAACATCTTTATACAAACTGACTTTATTTGCTGCAAAAATGACGTGAATATAATCTAAAGAATCTAATTCCACTGTCTCGTATACAACACATATTTTAACAAATACCTAGAAATTATAGTAAGCAATTATAAAGTAAATCTAATAATAGTGGTGTACTATCTAGAAATATATAGTACTTACTCCTGATCAAAATTAAACAATACCTAGAAGTAAGAATGTTGTCGTTGAAATAAGTAAAATAATTGGGTAATTTCATAACAAAATCTCCGGTTTGTCCTTTTGTTAATAAAAAAGGAGGCATTCTTCCTCATTAATTAATAATTGTAACCTTGGAGGCGCTGCAATTGCATCAAAACCGATGGAAGGACGCGTACGCGCTTGTCTATAATAATTTTGATTCATCATCACCAGCACCATAAAATGTAAATGATATTGTATGCAACATCCAATTATTTTGCAAGGTTGGGGAGACTTGATTTTGATATAATTTTAATGGTTATTTTAATCGATCGTATAGTATTGTTGGTAAAGAAGATCAAATAGAAAATTGGTGATTGTAATCGTAGGAATGTAATAAGAACACATGGAGTGAGACAGGGAGGCATATTATAGCTACTAATGTTTGACGTCTGTAGTGAACGCCATTTGTCAGAAAATGTATCTAAAAGCAAATGAAGGAATAATCGTTGGTAATAAATAAGATAAGATATGCAGACGATACTGCGAACGCAGAATAATAATTAGAGACGTCCAACTGCTTATCAAGAATACACCAGTGGACCGAGTAAAACAGTTTACCTATCTTGGAACAACAGTAAATAAACAATGGGATCACTTGCAAGATGTAAAATTAGAATAGAAAAAGAAGACTAGTGCATTCAACAACATGGTCAAACTCTTTAAAGGCTCTTATGATGTTATATCTTCTCGATATTAAACTACGAAGTTGAATCCTTTACACTGAATGAAGCGATGGAAGGCTTCGAGAGGTGGCCATACAGAAGAATCCTAAGGATATCATAGACGGACAAAATTGACTTCATATTGTTTTCTTTAGCTATTTTAGTAGGAATAGGAATTTAGTAGGAATATGTACATACTCATAGATCGCTAGATGTAATAAATTATCGATGACGTGATAAGACTCAAACTGCCAAGGTAAGAGTTGACAGCCAGTACACCGAAAATATCAAAATACAGAGAGGAGTCCGCCAGGGTTGCGTGCTGTCCCCACTACTTTTCAATGTCTACAGTGAAGCGGTATTTCAAGAAGCGCTCTCAGACTCAATAGAAGGTATATCTATCAATGGAGAAGTTTTGAATAACTTACGTTTTGCAGACGATACAGTAATAATTACGGATAACAACAATGATTTACAGAACCTAATGCAACGCCTTAATGAACGCCTGTCATGAGTACGGACTGAAGATAAATTTAAAGAAAACTAAATGCATGATCATGACTATCTGCACATGCAAATATCCAATTGACTATTGAAGATACTGCAATTGAGAAGGTTAATAACTATAAATATTTAGGAACATGGATAACATCAGATGTAGACCAAACCAAAGAAATTAAGACACGTATTGAAATAGCACGTACATCATTTATTAAACTTAAAAAGTTTCTTTGTTGTCGGGATATAAGGTTAGAACTACGCCTGAGAATGCTTCGATGTTACGTGTTCTCTACTCTTCTTTATGGTCTGGAAGCTTGGACACTCAAACAAGTTCATCTGAATAAGCTAACCGCCTTTGAATTTTGGTGTTACAGAAGAATCCTACGAATATCATGGATTCAAAGAATGTCAAACATGGAAGTAATTAGAAGGATAGGAAATGAGGCGGAAATAATATTAACAATTAAAAGACGAAAACTTGAGTACTTGGGACATGTGATGAGAGGGCAAAAATATCTTCTTCTTCTTCTTCTCGTGCCACTCCTAGCGGAGATTGGAAATCATCATGGCCACTGCGACTTTGTTAGCAGCGCGCCTGAAAAGTTCAATCGAACTAAATATGGCAAAAATATGCATTATTACAACTTATTATGCAGGGCAAAATCCGAGGAAAGCGAAATGTGGGAAGACGAAGAATATCCTGGCTTAAGAACTTAAGGGAATGGTTTGAATGCAGTAGTGCAGAACTTTTTAGAGCGGCAGTCAACAGAGTCCGCATAGCCATGATGATTTCCAACCTTCGATAGAAGATGGAACTTAAAGAAGAAGAAGAGAAGAGTGTAGACAAAATATGATACAATACCAGTCAAAACAAAATAAAAACTAACTTACTACTTGTGCATTTGGTGAATGCAGCAATTCGTGCTTTTCTAATTGGTCCTTCGAGCTAAAGGTAGTCGTACATTGAGAACACCCAAAAGGACCTCCGGTACCTGCCAACGACGGAGTTGGGGATACGGCGTTGGGAACGGTCATACCGCTAGCTTCAGATACACTGGAAAGGTCCATATGGGCACATTCCATGTGCTCTTTGAGCGCTTGGAAGGTCTGGCATCCTTTCTGGCATTGTGGACATTTAATAAAGTATTCTGGCGTGGTAGGGGTGAGATCTTCTTCTTTGATTGTGCCATTTGTAAGAGGAGAGGCTGAAAAGAAAACAAAACGTCAAAATTTTACAAAATTAGAACAATAAAAGAATCAATTAAATCAACAATAAATACAATAGTTGTTACAATCTAATTTATTTTAAACGATGCGCGAAAGTTACTCAAAATGCGAATCTCTGTACTTAATATAAAAGAACCTAATGCCTATTACAAGTAGTAATAAATTTCTATAAAAGTTTTATATACACCTCACATGAAACTATAAATATTTTGATTTTCTGCTATATCAAATGATATTAATTTATATTTTATGTAAAATTGTCACAATCTACTTCTATTTATCACGCAATTATGGGTGTCACCTGGCCGCAGAATCTCTTTGTTTACAGCTTCTAAAAAAAGATAAACCATTGTCTTATCAGAGGAAAGCTTGACTGATTCATTACCACAGACAATATGCGCAATCTATATACCTTTAGCCGCAGGGATAGGTAATTGCAGGATGTTTAGGTTCCAGAGGTCGCAGTTTATGTAAATTAAATAGGAAAAAGATCACTAAACTACAAATAATATTGTGGTGAAGTAATGATTTCACTGGTTTCCTTAAAATTAATAACATGCGCGATAACGAGAGATGACGACCGCAGTTTTAGCAATTCAAATGCATTTAGATCAATTTTATGAATCATGTAGGTTATAGGCCATGAATAACGATCTTTTAGACACATTGTGCTTTAGATAGAACAAAATGTGCCCGCCTATGACATCGAATAGACGTTTAAGATGTAGTAAATGTCAAAGTTTACAATGCGTGAACCACACAAATAAGACAGATTAAAATCTACTGTGCTTCAATAAAATAGTATTTAGAGCATAATATATGTATTTCAGATATTTCTATTTAGAAATTCGGAAATAATTATCAATAGCACAATTTATTTTCAGACGTATCACAGAAGGTGCAGCAGACGCAAGATGATTAAGTAGAACGGAAGATTGCAACAAGATACAACAGTAAACGACGGAGAAACAAAGGTCATAAAGGTATTGGAAAACATTCGAAAACACCATACAAGAAACAGTTAATAAGGAAATGTATTGACCTAACAAGAAGGAAAAATTAAGGAGGGGGAAAAATCAATACAATTTCGAATTACATTACATTAAGAATTGAGACAAAATTAACAAAAATATGGCAAAAATATGGCAAAATTAACAAACATTTGGAAAAGCCATGAAATAACTACTGATACAAAAATGAGACTAGTAAGAAGTCTAGTTTTTCCAGTTTTTACTTATGCATCGGAATGCTGGACCCTTACTGAAAAAGACAAAAAGAACATAGATGTAGTTGAGATAGAAAAGTAGAAGGCAAAAGAAATAGAGGTAGATCTCCCACACGATACACGGACCATATTGTTGCTACCATTGGCGCTCCATTGTCAGAATGTGCTAGAATGGTAGAAGATAGAAAAACGTGGAGGAACATTGGGAAATTTAGCTAATAGCTTCATGATATTACGATACCTGCATCAGGTTAACGACTAAGAAGAAGAAGAAGAAGATGAATTGAGAAAGGAACTCTCTTCAAAAAAATAAATCTTCTCTTTTTTGACCTTCTCCAGACCAAGGAGTCATAAGAAGCTTAAAGTGCCATTATCGGAAACAGCTTTTGAAAATGACAACAATGGATAACCCGTGAACATTACCATCCTTGATACAGTTCAGTTTTTCGAAAATGCGTGGAGTGCAGTTACGTCAGTGACAATTTGTAAGTGCTTTTGTCAAGCTAAATTGATTGTAGTTTCTACCAATATTCAGGTTGTTGACGAGGATAACGAAATGCCTTTGTCAGAGTGGATCTATCTGTCTATCTAATCAGTCTTAAACGTCCACACTTGGGCATAGGCCTCCCCTGTTAATCTCCATTGCTCTCTATTTTGGGCGATCTGCATCCAGTCCTCCTTTCCTGCCGTTCTCTTAAGATCGTCAGTCCATCTCATCTGTGGTCTTCCTCTTTTTCTTTTCTTTTCCCATGGTCTCCAGTATATAATTCGCTAATTCCATCTTTCATCTTTTTGCCGGAGAGTGTGACCGGCTAAGTTCCATTTAAGTTTTGCAACCTGTCTTGATACATCGTTCACCTTTGTTTTTTCTCTGATCTTTTCCTGTCTTTAAGACCGATACCCAGCATCTGTCTTTCCATTGCTCTTTGTGTTTTGGATATCCTGTCGATGTTCTACTTTGTGAAAGTCCATGTTTGTGAGCCATATGTGGTAACTGGTAAAATACACTGATTGAATACTTTCGTTCGCATATATTAAGGGGAACTTTTTATTTTTTAGAATATATGATAGTTTACCAAATGAGGCCTATGCTAGTCTAGTTCTTCTTTTTATTTCTTCTGCTTGATTGTCCCTGTTCAGCTTTATTATCTGTCCTAGGTATACGTATTCTGCCACCTGCTCTAATTTATTCTGTTTGACTACTATTTCTAATTGGTCTTCTTGGTTTGTCATAGTCTTGGTTTTACTATAGTTCATCTCTAGACCTACCTCTGTCGCTTTTCTATCTAGTTCCTCAACCATCTTCTGTAACTCTTCCTTCTTATCCGTTATCAGGTCTATATCGTCTGCATATCTCAAGTGGTTCAAGAGCTCTCCATTTATTCTTATTCCGTATGTATCCCATTCTAATTTTTTAAATATGTCTTCCATAGCCTGATTGAACAATTTTGGCGATATTGTGTCTCCCTGCCTGATTCCTCTTTCGAATTTTATTGGTTCTGTAGCGTGTTCGTTCGTCAATTTTATTGTGGTACTCGCATTTTTGTATATGTTTGTTATTAGGTCCGTGTACCTGTAATCAACTCTGCCGTTCTGTAGTGAGTTTTTGATGGCCCAATGTATGCTGTCAAACGCCTTTCGGAAGTCTATGAATACCATGTATAATGGGATTTGATACTCGTTCGACTTTTCAATCAGTATTTTTACTGTTAGCAGATGGTCGCTAGTACTAAAACCCTTTCTGAATCCCGCTTGTTCTTTTGCTTGGTATTCGTCAAGATTAGTTGTTAGTTTATTTGTCATGTTCTTCGTTAGTAGTTTAAATACAACACTTATTTGTTATTTGTTTGTTATATGTCTATAGTTTTCTAAGTTCACCTCTTCTAAGGTCACCTTTTTTGAACATTAATAGTGTCTCCTCATCGTTCCAGCTATCGGGTATTTCTTTTGTGGTCAATATTTTGTTCATGAGGATATGTAGGACTTCTCTAGTGGTTTTCCCTCCTCTCTTCAGCATCTCTGCAGTTATTCCATCTTTTCCAGGTGACTTATGGTTTTTTAATTCTTGAATTGCTTTCTTAATTTTTGTTTTACTTATTTCTGGTTGTAGAGTTTATATTTTTTATTTTTGTGTTTAATTGTTTAAGAATTTCTTGCTGTGGTTTATGTCTTGTTCTGTATAGGTGCGTATAGTATTCTTGTGTCAACTTTATTATTTGTTTTTTCTCTTGGTTTCTTTTATGTTTTTTCTAATTGTTTTATTGATTTCAGTATATTCTACTGTGTTTTTTTGCCCTGTTCAAGTAGGCTTCTTCTTGTCTTCATCAGGTTTTCTACTTCTTCTGAGATATAATTGTCCTTTTTTGTCGTCGATTTTGCAATTCTTTCCGCGGTCTGTAGCAATGTCAGAGTGGATACAAAAATTTAATGTAAACCAGAGAGAATTTGGAACTGATCTTGACTCCTACATTTCAGTAGACGACTAGGTAGAAACATTTCAAGTTTTAAGTGATAAAGAAATTGTGGAATAAGTACAAAATGTGGAAAGAAATGTGGAAGAAGAAAAAGAAGACGGCGTTGATTGTCCTACAATCCAAGAAGCAATTAGAGCTGCTGAGACCATATCCAGGTTTTAGCAGTTCAGGGAGGCTAGCATTTATTTCTCTATCTTTGAAATGGACTCACATTTGCAACCGATTCATCGATTCTTCTTCTTAAAGTGCCATCTTCGTTCCGAAGGTTGGCTATTATCAGGGCTATACGTATTTTCAAAGCTGCTGACCGAAACAATTCATTGTTGCTACAGCTATACCATTCCCGTAGATTCTTTAGCCAGGACTTTCGTCCTCTTTCTATGGACCTTTTTCCTACTGTTTTCCCTTGTATAATTATTCGAAGCAGTTTATATCTTTCGCCTCATGTAATGTATCTTAAGTATTGCAGTTTTCGTGTTTTGATGGTAAATATGACTTCCTTTTCTTTATTAATTCTTCTAAGATCTCGACATTTGTGACTCTCTCGGTCCATGAGATTCTCAGGATTCTGCGATACATCCACAGTTCAAAATGCCTCTAATTTTTTGGTATCAATCTTTTTCAACGTCCATGACTCCATTCCGTAGAACAGCACAGAAAGTACGTAACATCTCATCAGGCGAAGTTTCATTTCAAGGCTCAAATCTCTTCCGCAGAACACTCTCTTCATTTTAGTGAATATGGATCTGGCTTTTTCTATTCTTATTTTGATTTCTACTTCTTTTGACTTCTGATTCATCGATTATTGATAAGTAATCAGCCTATAAGCGTATAAAACACACTAAAATGAATTATGATCTAGACCAATGGTTTCCAAAAGTACCGCAGAACCGTAGAAACAAATTCAGCCAAAAAAAGGTCCATCATTTAGAGCCCCACAGCTGAAAAGCCATATATCTACGTAAGCTATTTGAAGAAAGTATAAAATATAAATAAATGTTTTAAACGGCCGAAAATATACGTTTGACACCAACACTATTAGTAAAATCGCGATTTTTTTACGTTTTTCTTCCTGTCCTATAAATACCTAACCAATATCCGATTTTCTACCTTCGATCGGATAACCAATCAAACATCCTGTCGCATGTACAAGTACATCCTTCGGAACGGATCTAGTAAACGATAAAATAAAAATGTTTTCCGATTTCGAATCGTTCTCGTAATTGGGTTAGGTATTTATAGATTTAG